AACTCGCTGTCAGCGGCTGTCCTCGTACACTTTGCTTACTACCCGGTCCCTGCTCCATAGCTGTACAGAAGGAGGGTATCCGCGGGTGCTACAACTAAATTTAGCCAACTGTTTGCACACAGAAGTTTGAGGTTTTCCATGACCAAATGGAGGCACTTCGGGGGCATTTTCTGTTGCTTGAAAAAATATGCACAATTAAACTTGAACAGCTTCATCAGTCTAACTGCCACAATAGAAATCAGTTGCGTGCAAATGACGAAGAAGCCAAATGCCGTGAACCAAGATTCCACAATATCGCCTGCACCGTAAGGGCACCTGCACTGAAATGAAAGTAAGCATCGTCCCACCCTCTTTACAAGGTGTTTTTTAGTGGTAAGATTTCGGTGGGCAGGGATGTAACAAACCGATAGCGACGTTTTACAGTCTATGAAAGACACGACACGGCATACAAAGCCATAGCCTAATGCAACAAACAAAAACAAAAGCAAAAACTTCCCACAAGTAACAGACACCACCGGAGCAGTTGCGGCTGCTGTTGGGGCTGATGAGTCCAGCTGGAAGAAAGCACCACGGGCGATCCTATTATTCTCTCACAGCAAAGCAATGCATCTGTCATCTAAAAAGTCGTTCATATCGCCATGGGAACAGCACTGCGTGACGGAGAAACCTTCATCGGGGAAGCTCGTCCGTCACTTGGTTGTTTCCGCTGCTTTTGAGCTATTTTGACTCTCTGCCTCCCCCGTGCCAAACAACCCTTTGTCGATCTGCGCCTCGGAAAGAAAGGGAATCTCCTCTCCTGAAAACGAGTTCACCACAGTGTTTTACATACCTGCGTAGCTGCTTTTTGAAGATGCCCACCTAAGTACCCGGCTAGCCCCTAGAGAAGCAAACTGATAGCTGTCAAAGCAACTTATTGCAAGAAGTCGCAGTCGTGATGCCCTCATGAGTGGGTGCAAAAAGAGCACACAAAACAGTGGTCATAGGTANCAAGAAGTCGCAGTCGTGATGCCCTCATGAGTGGGTGCAAAAAGAGCACACAAAACAGTGGTCATAGGTAGAATGGATGTCTGGAATTTCACTGCACTCCGGCTGCGCGGCTCACCTTCCACAATCAGGACGTTTTTCTTCAAGTCGATAACCATCTGATATCGCCTTAACATATCTAGTCCAAGCAACATCTGCATCTTGGTGTCCTCCAAAACGATAAAACTGCACGGGCAGAACTTTGTGCCCAACTTAAGGGGCGCCAGATGCACTCTACCGATTATGGGGGCCTTGCCAACGCCCATCGCTAACCCAGCAAAACGCTTGTCTATGAGCGACGAGAGGGAGCACTTCTCTGCAAATGCTAATGACAGAATCGACTGCTGAGCGCCGCTGTCTACAAATGCTTTGCACGGAACTCCGTTGATCTCCACGTCTATGTATAACATGCACACAGATCCAAACCCCTCAGGCAGATGCTCTCGTGCCATCGAATAGTTCTCATTGATTCTTTCCTGTTGCAGCTCCTCTAGCAAGAACTGCTGAGCCTCCTGCGATAGCGGATCCCGTTGTATTGCCTGCATACGCCTCAACCTNCCTCTAGCAAGAACTGCTGAGCCTCCTGCGATAGCGGATCCCGTTGTATTGCCTGCATACGCCTCAACCTCTCGCTGTCAGCCTGTACAGGGAGACAGAATTGCATAGATTTGTTTCGGTTGCAGTTGCTGCTTCTCGATGCAGTCGTACAGCCTGTCAACGCAGGCTAAGATGGAGCAGGAAGCAGCAAGAGCAGCAGAGGCAACAGAGCCGGGTGGGCCCCCTACAACATGCTTGCACCTTACCTTTTTCTGAGCTTCATATTCTTTTTCTAGGAGTTCCATCAACTGCTTCATCGCTGCTCCAGCCTCCGCTGGTTGAGCTGCATCTGTTCCTCTTGGAAGAGTAGCTGCCTGGCGCTCATCTACAGCAGCTTTTATGGCATCTCCAATGACTGGATTCTGTACTCGGATGATGCTCAGGGATGCGGGATCCGCTGTTGCTGCGGCCACCGCCTCTTCTGCGCGGCGCCGGATCAGTGCTTTTACCTGTGCATCTATGGTAGATGTCAATGACGCAGCAGCAGTTCCCCCTGCAGGGGCAAGTGGGGAGGTGGCAGTACTGGAAGCAGGCGCAGAAGATGTGCTTGGGGGTGGCCCACTATTCCCCCCCGCAGGGAACTGAGCGACTCGACCACCGTCCACGACGATGCCTGTATGCAGAGACGGGCAGAGTTGCGAACGATCACATTCCATATTCCAAATAAGTTCACGGTGCACTCAATCGGTGCAATGCAGTATATGCTGCTGCGTACTTGAGAAATCGAAGGGCAATGTGGCAGGAAGTTGCTGCCGCTGCGGCGTTCGAGCTGCGGGCGCCGGTGCCTGCTGTGCCCGCTGTGTACGCTCTTGAGTGGCACCAGAAATGACACGAGAGGCGGCTGTCACTGGAGGTGCAGGGGCTTCATTGAGAACGAGCAGCATGGCTCCCTCTCCCACCCCCGCCTCCGCTAGAGTCCTCGCAGTGTTCCTGCGCAGATGCCCCAGTAACAAAATATATCACAGTGCCAACTTAAGCGGAACTAGGTACTTAAAGGAAGCAGGGTCGTACCGTAGTGGCTGGCCATCCAGTAGAATCCGCTGTCTTTCGGGGGGTATGTTCAACTCCACTGAAATAATGTCCTTGAGCGCCGAGATCTCCGCCTCTCCAGTAAGATCCAGAGCGAAGACCTGGCCATCTGGCAAGTCAAAACCCCAAGCAAAAGCAATCATAAAGAACCAAATTAGAACCGCACGCCGCCTTCCATTCACCGTGCAGGGAGGACGATCCACAAAAAACGAAAAGCGAATGCTTCCGGTACGCGCAACCAAAATTCGAATAATTTATTTCCAAACTTCAGCATGGAAGTATCGAGTGAGACATGCAAAGGAAAAATACAGGTAGCATCTCTGCCGCTCCCCCCGAGATACGCAACAAGAAACTTACCAGGGTCAGTGACAGTTACCTGCATCTTCGGCGGAGGACATGACTCCAGAATGTCGCAGCACAAATAAATAACGTGTATGCAAATTGTTTCTTTAGGACTGTATAGCTGTTGAGGGAACTGCTGGCGGATCAGTCCGGACTGATGGACTGCATGCCCAAACGCCCGCCTCAGCTAGTTTGTGTAGCCCTTGCTAGGTATTTGCATTACTGCAATAGCAAAGGTATTCTTATGAAATTTTAAGTAAATTGCAAATGTAGAATTCCTAGGAAAATGGAGTCCGTGTGCATTTGGCTGGATTGGGATGCGCCTGTGCAATGGCAAGTTTGTATGTGCGTACAGATGTGTATATATGCGCCAGTGAAAAAGCACTCAGCGTCGAAACACATCATTATTGTGTTCATGAATGCATTGGAGAGCAGTTTGAAAGGGCTTGCGTGTGGGTTGATTATGCCGGAGTTTGCTGAGTCCTGGTGGAGCTGAGAATTGCTTCGTTGACGGCTGCGCCGCGGCAGGGAGTTTCACATTCCCAGAAAGTGCTAGGTTGACATTTTGAGAAGATATGACGCCGATACACTATGTAACATACTGTGTATCCCTTGTTGGAAGATTTCGTTCCCCCGCCAACGTGGGGTTTGTAGCAGAATGGAACGAGAGTCCTCTATCCTTTATGACTCTCGCGAGCTCCAATGGAATAAGAATACTCCATATAAGAGTTTCTAAAAGTCAGTTGATATCTTCTCCAGTTCCCATTCGACCTGAGACCGCCAGCCCAAAGGCCTAGGGTCGGGGACATGATCTGCAGCGCACATCGCTGCAACTCATGCCTCAGGGCAACCGCAGATCCATGCGTAGCCAAGCCCATTTTACTGCATGCAGCAACACTATATACAATTCTTGTGTACTCAGTTGACCCTCCATAGACAGCCTGCACGCAAGTAGGACTGCACATACCAACCCACAGAAAAATGGTACACAGGATTTGCCGTAGGTTGGTGGATGTGTTCATATTTGTATGCATGCTCCCAAATGGATACTAAGTGGGTGTTCCTACACGTGGTGTACTCCTGGGAGTCTGCAGCAGTTATCGGATGAGCGCAATGTAGACGTTGAGAAGCTAGCCAGGCTTTTCCTGAGCACTCGATAAAACTTTCACTGCCCAAAAAAGGTGGAAGTGTTGGCGTGTGCAGCGCCAACCAAGCAGTAGAAATGAAGAGGGCTGCAGTACAGGGCTGAAGTGTAAATACAAATACAGACAGCATATAGAAAAGGATATAGGCCTCGCTAACGCGGTGGAAAAAGCAACTGTCAAGAAGTATTGCACGCAGCCTATAATGCTTGCTCTATGGCCTTAATCAAGGGAAGAAGCTAGCTGCAATGTAGGTAAAGAATTAAAGCAAGAGTTTCCGAAAAACAGGTGGCGTTCTCCCGTGTTCCTCCTGCATGTTGAGCTCAGGGCCTGACGGCTTGGGTGTTGCGGGGGTGAGGCAGCCTGAAGTGGGGTTGCAGCGCATCTCGCAGCGGCTGATAATACAAGCCAGCCTCACGGGTGCACACAAGGAAACTTCAACGAAGATTCCTTTGGCGCATGCTTTGCCTCTGAATGTACTTATAGAACTTTTGCATTTGCTTACGCGCAGCCTACCAAGGCCAAATAAGGGTTCCTGTTCTCAGTGAAGCCAGAGCATGCTACACAGAAAATAAGCATTGCTGTTCATGCCACAGCTTGCAATGGCCATTGCAGAATCATGCATAGCAGATTGGGGAATTCTTTTGTAAATGCGATCTTTACGAACGCCCTCGGGTTGCCTGTCCCCTGGCTATTTAGCATAATGTGTTGACTTCATCCGACATCTGCGCGTCGTGCGTCCGACCTCCATTATCTGCTTTCTTCTATCGTGTCGAGGCTGCTAGCCTTGGAGACCTGGGAGAGCGTTCACTCCTTTACATGCTATGTTGATATTTGTATTCCTCTTTAGTATAAATGTTTGCAGTTAGCTTTACGTATTATTAGGTTGTATCTCTGAAGGACTATTGGGGGGCGCATCCATAGAACCCCACAGCTGAGTATAGCGAGCTGGCAGGCATTAGCTATCATACTGATACAACAGCATAACAAACTAACAAAGGTCAAGGGAATCTCTCAGTTTCTTCTCCAAAACTGTTCTATTCTGCAACCGCACTTGGGGCAGGCAGAGGAGGCGGCGTAGCACGTTGCAGTACCCTTTGCACCAAGGCTCATGCGAGCATCTCCTACAATCATAACAATGGTCACTTCATAAAAAATGTTTAGTGCATTCACCAATGTTATTCTCAACGTACATCAATCAGCACTCACAGACACTTCCACTGACTCACTCATTCCACATAGCTAATGCCTGCCAGCTCGCTAGTCAACAGTGGGGTTCTCATTTCACAAGGCGCACGGCATTGTTGCTGTGATTGTAGTGAGTATTCACTACAACGCCTCATAGGAGTGCCTGAACCACTGCCATGCACTCCAGGTAAACCGTACACTCGACGCATACACACTCAGGTTTGTCAAGTTCGTTTTCAGCCGATACTTTCAAAACGTTTCAGCGTCTTAGAAATCTTCCAAAATTAAAAGAATGGGAATGGAAACAATGATTCGGGTTCAAGGTGTTAGTCAACAGTGAACTGAAGAGTCTGGGAAAAGAGCACTAAGTCCATCAGTAACCGCAATTAGGGGCAAACGCGTGTTTTAGATCGACTCATTTGTGCGTTTTTGTTCCCAGTGTTCTCTTAGGACTTTGCGTGAGTTCCCGGGACGAGGGGAAGGCAGTAGATTGCTCAGATAACTGCTGAGAACAGGAAGACGATCGACTTCATCTCTTACAGTTCAGTGGTGGGGTGAAAGCTCACCCGGCGGCATATCTGTATTTAAAAGATGTTGGTGGAATTGGGTGAGCCTCTTACAGTGGTAGTATCGTCGTCTGCATGAAACAAATTTTGTTCACGCTTCACGCATAGCTTTNTGAGCCTCTTACAGTGGTAGTATCGTCGTCTGCATGAAACAAATTTTGTTCACGCTTCACGCATAGCTTTCAGCTAAGCGGCGCCGGTATCGCCTATGTAGTCTGAATCACTGTCACTCGCGTCTGGGAGCAGATTGCCCCCCAACAGGGATTTCCTCAATGCTTGAATGCCGCTTCCAAACTTCCTGGATGTGCCACTGTTGCCTTTGCTCATCCTCGAACTCCTCGTTGGTGCTGTTCCAGCCTCGTAGTTTTCTGTGCCAGAATAGCTGCTAACTGCAGCCGTTGTCGGGGAAAGCCTTGCTGGGGGAGGAGCATCGCTGTGGTCTGCACAACCTGCAGTTTTTCGACCCCGCAAGCCCCCTTCAAAAAGTCCCACCAAGTAAGCGGTTATTAAACAGGCTAGGAGGACAACTAAAAAATAGATTGCTATTGTTTTTAGTAGCAACATTACATCACGAGCATCTTCTAGGTTAATGATTCCGGAGCTGGAGGACGTCGCGAGAGGCAGCGTTGCCGTAACTGACGCAGTAGTAGTCGTTGTGGGCCCATAGATAGCGGCGCAGTTGGCATCGCAGTATTCCAGAACAAAGCGTTCTTCAGGGCACCGCTCGCCTTCCCCTGCTGCCTGACGGGTAACTTGATGTGTTTGTAGTGTGCGACAGAGAACACACTGCGACTTTGGCGATAATGTTGATGCACAGTTTGTGCTGCTGCCTGTTGGTTCCGATCCTTGCTCGCGCCAGGTAGCAGAGGAGCCCTGAACATCTTTCTGTCGAGGCGCAAAACTGTTGAGTATACGGCTTTCCGAGCTAGGAATGGAGCACATGCCACTCCCTGAAGTAGCACAGCAGCGCCGAAATGCCGAGAGAACTTATCATACACCCTATCAAATCTACAACGCCGTAAATTCGTGGTTTAAAATTGTGAAATGATATCCTCAAGGAGGTTGGTACTGCACTTTCCTCTGCAGTCGTGATGTTCGTGTGAAGCACTTTTACCTATATGCGAGAAGGCTGCATTACCTGTGCACGGCTCGACCTCATAGGGAAGACACGGTCTACCCCCTTTCTTAGGAGGAGACGTGACGCTGAACTGCCGCATCCTAGTACAGGTGCTGTCGCAGATAGACCAGTCTCCCCATTCTCCCTGGCAGTCCAAGGCCTCCAGAGACGAAGGGTTTTGCGGCGCAGTTTCACAGTCTTTGTCGCCGTCGAAGAAGCCACCTCCTGTGCAGGGTAATGAAGGAGTTGACTGTAGGCGTACCTCAAGAATATTAACTGCCCATGCCCCCGCGGTTGCAGTTGTGAGAGGAGTAGCCTGTAATTGCAGCGTCCTGACCCTTTTCAAAGAGAGATATCTAGTGACCCACGGATAGGTTACATCAGTCATTTCAAGGGGAGGAGCGCTAATGGTTGTAGAGATCCTAGACAGCCAGTTCGCTTCCGTATCTTGAATACTTAATACTAGTGACACGTTGGAGCGATGGAGGTAGATCTCCACAGCCTCCAGGTCTACTGGCTCCGCTAGATGGAGCTCAATGGTGTCCATAGATGACCCCATCTTTATCAGGCTTGATAAGTTCTTATCCAAGAGTTTGGATGCATCGATTGTCCTATCTCCTGCAACCAAAACTGCCCCGTCTCTCCAGTCTGGGCAGTCTCCACCTTCACAGTGAATTAGTCGGAATGCGTTACTTTCCCAAGGGCATCCACCGCCATTATTTTTGCTTCTAAAGTGTTGCTGCTGCAGGCACGACGACGGGCAAGTTGCGGTGGTAGCGCTCCACCTGCAGAACCAGCAGAAGTTGTGGATAGCCCCAAAATGGATACTACAGTTCTTACTGAGGTCTCTATATAGCGTGGTACTCAAATATTTCCGCATAAGCAGCTTCACCACTTATCTACGGGNTTACTGAGGTCTCTATATAGCGTGGTACTCAAATATTTCCGCATAAGCAGCTTCACCACTTATCTACGGGCCAGTTCCAATAACAATATAGGCTAGTTCAGGTTGTTTTGGCTGACTGTCCTTGACAATCTTCTTCGTCCTTATTCGCGGATAAAAGAACTGCTCTTGATGTGGTGAAAGGTTTCCATTCTGGCAGCAGCGTCGACGGACCAACGGAGGGTGAGCTATCTTCCTTAACAGATCCCAACCACAGGGCAGTGGATTCTGAAAGACGTAGTAAGGGATGCCCGTAAATCCGCCCAAATAAGGCACCTCCTTGCACACCAGCAACGGTCGCTGTTGCTGTGGGCACGCGAATGCTGAGGCTTGATAAATCCACAATAGCCGCCATTGCCTCTTCATTCAGATGGTCCGCTACCGTGACCAGTGCAGTTTGCAGTGAGAGGGAAACAGCGTCTGGGTCCATAAGCCTGTGCTCTAATACAGGACCCAAAAGAGAAACGGGAGATTTCAGGGTATCGTCGTGGCCCTCCCAGACAGCTGCCTTTAGGGTTGCACTCACTGCAGTGAGTCCCTCTACTTCTGATGCTTTCCAGGAGGCTTCTCGCCAAATCAATACCCAGCTTCCACCATCGATGGGCAGCAGCCTGCCCCCCGTATCCTTGTTGTATGAAAGTGACTCATCTAGTGGGGTGACACCCTGAGCCTCTGTCTGGTAGCGGCTGCTACTGTCTACTACCAGGAAGCCGTTGATGGATATTCCTAGGTTGGGAAGTTTCGTGCTGACGCACAGTGAAGCCCAGTGGCCAGTTCCGGGGTGCATGGACGCGGATGTGTAAAGGCAACTTTCGCATTCGCCTCCTTGTAACTGGTTATCCTCCAGCTCACCACTGCTGTTCAAAAGGACTGTTTCACATTTTGGAGACACAACAACTTTTCCTGTCTTCAGTTCCCACCTTTCCCTGACCAGCGTAACAGCGTACTGCTTCTTCACATTTCCACCTGTTCCACTTACGTCACCTCCCACAATGGCTGTGCGCTGCTCCTGTCCATGAGGAATCAAGACGTTATACGCAGTTTCTCTAATCCATTGCAACTCTCCCAATCCATTGAACTCAGCGACAAAAAGGGAGCCATAGCGCACCCCTACAGCAGAGCCTAAACTGACACCATGACGATTCCATAGATCTTGTCTAGTAGAATTCCAGCTATCCTCATCTCTTGGAGTTACAGTTNGACACCATGACGATTCCATAGATCTTGTCTAGTAGAATTCCAGCTATCCTCATCTCTTGGAGTTACAGTTGAAGCACGTGTTCTGCTACTATTCTCCTCTAAAGGTTCTTCAGAAGCAGAGCCACACCCCCAGCCATTCTTGGTTTCTAACTTATAGTAGTAGCACTCGCCGTTTGTTTTCTTTTCTGTGGAGCCTGTCCCTTGACAAAGGCGAGCTCCCAGGGGCGCCACTTTCCCTCCATAAATAGAGGAGAGGCATGAGCCCTGGCTGTCCCCACCGAAAGATATCTTGCACCCATCTTCGCTGTTGCACCTACAAGTTTCCTGCTGAGTCCTGCAGTTGGCGCTCCAAAGAAGAAGCAACACTTTGTCGATTACCCCGTTCACTTCCTCTGCCCACATGCCCACTCCCCGTACTTCTGGGAGGTCAGTGGAACTCAACAACTGAATCTCAGACCGATTCCAATCATTAGACGGGTCGATTTCCTGCAAGTTTACGTCGCATCCAAAAAATGCCTGCTCGTCTAATGGGGGGCTTGACGACTCATGTTCATCTGCTGCGCTACAGCTATTCAGCAGCAGCAGAAGTTTCCCGCTAGGAAGAGAAATCGAAGACAGGCGTTCTATCGCTGGGAGACCCTCAGTCGTCACCACCTGCTCGAGCTCACGAACTGAGAAGTCATTCTTGGGCCTCGCCAGGCTGGCCCGGCCAGTGATGACGCTGGACTGCACTATCGATAAGGAAAGGCACGGCACGAGAAAGCCCAACAACTNGCCCGGCCAGTGATGACGCTGGACTGCACTATCGATAAGGAAAGGCACGGCACGAGAAAGCCCAACAACTGAAATGCGATGTATAAAGCGGAGAGTTGTACAATTTGCAGATGGAAACCCGCCATTATTACACTGCGTGAGATGAGAAGCGTGGTTGCTAGAGGTGGAAAGGAGAGGAACGCAACGAGCTCTGCTGATATGGGAAAGAGGCTTTCTCATGAATGAATTCCGTATTCGGCTCATCTAAACCATGCCAACGAGTGGCGCAATTGACTAGCACTCTAGTTATAACTGCTTTTAACTCTGTAGGCCTTGACATTGGTGTGCAGTCCTGCAGGCAGGGAAGTGCTTTTGCCCAGATATTACGCCATATGGTCTGATATATTGCACATAAATGATCTAACTATGTTACGTTTATATATTAAACTCTCAGCAAGCATCTGCAAAGAATTGTGGCTGGGTGTCCACTAAGCCTTCAGGTGATGTAGGGGCGGCGCCCCACAGAGGTTCCTACTCGAGTGGGGGATCACTAGGGACGATGAAGAGCGGTGCCTCCTGCATACACGCTATGCACTAGCTGGCACATGTTCCACTCTTATGTGTTAGGGAATTTGGCTTGTACCGTCGCCTAGGAATTTGCATGGAAATACAACCGGTGTAGGGCTGCTGTGCTCGGAGTGCGCAATACTAGGGAATGGACCAAGTGCCGAAAGCCACTCAGAATAGATAGGGATATATGCCGCCAAATTTTCTTCAGAATTAAACCTCACCACAACTTCGATTGATCTTCATTTCTAGTTGAAACTTTTAATCTATTCTGCAGCGGAGCAGCCCCAAAGCCCCACGTCCCAAAGCCCCATAGCCCCAAAGCCCCTAAGAGGCGACAAGCTCCAGATTCCCACCTTTACATATATGCGCATATTTCCTCCCTGTCTAAAATATGCCTAATTATACCTTGAAACACCCATATTCTCCCGCCGCAATCAAGCATATCACCCAGATCTAAGCGAAGCTGTTCAAGTGTTCCGCTTACATTCGCAAATCGAACTGCGCCTACAACTACTCAACATGCTCGTTAAAGTAGACAACAATAGAGTTTGTTATGTAAAGGAACTTTCCGTTGTGAATAACTGACGAATGACATAGCTTTTCCTGACCATGTTCCCCCAACTTTAGTGTGCATTAGCGGTCGCTACACACGAATTTGAACGGATTCCACGCATTTTTGACCCTTAATTATGTGAAAGTCAGTTTAGTACGATAGCTGTAGCAGTGATGGCTCTGGAGATCTCAACAAACTCAGGAACTCGACCTCACACCACGGTATGCACTGATTGCTTGCTAGCCGGTAGCTCTCCAACGCTTCCCCCTCCGCAACATGATTTCTTAACGATAGCCAAATCGCAGAACAACGTCTGCTGATAAGTTCAGATTGGGGCCCGAACCCCGCCACACGATGCGGTAGCAAATGACTAGAACGGCGAATGGGATTGCTGGCCAGATGCTGTGCTGTTGATGATCGAGCCCCCAGTCATTCGGTTTTGTCCTTTACAATCAAAGTTTATTTTCTTAGAACCCGAGTGTCTGCTTCTCAATTCTGCTAGCAACCCCGTATCAGGCATCTCCCTAGGTCGCCAGTGCAGATTGCTGTGGCCTGGCGAGCAGCATTTGTCTGCATGCTGCAGATGCTAAACCATAAAGGTAGAAGCTGTGCCGTTCTATTGCTAAGAAGAAAACCCCGAATGCCCAAAGTCTTAGGAAGAATTCGCTCCAGAATAGTTAACACATTTTCTAGTGCACGCTCCTATCTCAAGCTTGCACTGCGGCGTTTGGGGTTATCAGACCCAGAAAAGCTTAGAGGCTGCTGCCCCACAGCCTCGCGGTAGTTTCTTGCTCTACCTTTTGTTACTTTTCTCATTGTCCCCAATTAATTCCCAACCTTGAAGGATAGCACTTCACGATATTTTAAAATTAAGATTGATAAAACACCCCAGAGTTCCTAAATCTAAAGAGTTGCTTCCCCTTTGCTCTTCTGTGTCAAGGAGCCTTCACGAATAAGCAGCGCTGTACCCCCGACCGCCTCCCTACAGGGATGGGCTGGGGTTGTCTGCACTTATCCACCCAGCTAAACCATTCGGCATTACCGTGTATAACAATAACATATCCTAGCCGTGATTTCTCGGGAGCTGCATAAGTGTCAAAAAGAATTGAAGGCAAGAGCCCCCAACAGCAGTTATTAAACTCTCCTTCATTCTCTAGGCACCGATGAAAGGGCCTGGGGCTAAGGCGAAGCGAATGATTCCCTCAATAATCTACAGCACAGCGTGCTGCAACTTTTGCTAAGCTCGTAGGTGTGACCGTACTACAATTGTTTAGCCAGAGTCACCGATCTTATGGTCCCTCGTGAGCTGTACGCGAGTGAAAGAAACACAAGATAAGTGTTTATTGAAGCAGATGGCAGCCAGCAGAATCTCCAGGCAGCCTGGTGTCAGCGTAACAAGTGCCTGGGGCTTGAGGAACGATGAGATGAGTTGGAGCGCACCTCGCGGCAACGCATGCATGCACAACCCAGCCCCCTTTGCTGTATGCAGTAGCAGTGTACACAGTTGTTGAGCCTTTGCTTGCCCTCCCATACCCAGCAGACCCAGCTAGCATGCATGCGTGTATATATGAACACAGCAACTAGCGAACTACAGCACTCCATCTGAATAGAAAGCTCTACACACTGCCCCTGTGCAAGTATGGTGTTTTCGGTATAACGGTGTTCAGAAAAGTAAATGAGAATATATTAATAAAATAATTATAAATTTATATTGTTTTTTTTATAAGAGAAAGAATATAAAAAACAACACAGTGCAGTGGTAGACAGATCGTCGGTGCTGCACAGGTGTCTTTCTTCTCTGTGCATTGGTGTTAAGGGCGTGAGTTCTCCGTGGGGTTATTTCACGTTTTAAATATGTTATATATAAATAAAAAAAGATATATTAAAGAATTTGCGTATAAATAAATAAAATAAAACACGCAGGCGGCAGAAAGAGAAGAGAAGGAGAGAGGGGCTGTTGCTAGTTTCATGGGGGTGCGGGGGGCTGCANGCAGGCGGCAGAAAGAGAAGAGAAGGAGAGAGGGGCTGTTGCTAGTTTCATGGGGGTGCGGGGGGCTGCATACGTTTCTCTCTGTCGTCGATATTTGTGTGTTGCTGTTGAGTGTTTATGTTTCATTTGGAGCTAAAAATGCATGCAAAAGAAATTATTTTATAATATTTAAATAATAAAAATAAATAATTTATTTTAAGAGAAAAAAGGCTGCTGAAAATGGCGTTCTTTGCTCCCTTACGAACCATGTTTCTGCCGCCCGCAGCCTGCCGCCGGGCTCTCTCTCTCTCTCTCTCCCATTCTCCTCTTTCTTTTTTTTCTTCTTCTTCTTGTTTTTCTTCTTCTCTTGCTTTTCGTTCTCTCAGCACCACTCCGCTGCTGCAGCGGCATTGTGCTGCCCCCCAAACCCCAGCATCTCGCTTACCCCAGGGAGCCCTTGTACGCCTAGACAATACAGTAAGAAACAATAACAACAACCCCACCTTTTTCTCCTGCTGCAACTGCTGCACACTTATTTTTTTTATTTTTTTTTATTTTTATTGCCTTTTACTCATACACTACACACCGGGAAATTCATACACCTCTCACCACCTCTGCTGCGTACATACACTGCATGCGTGGGGGCCCACACCCCCTGCTGCAGCAGCAGAGTTCTCTATCTTTTTTTTTTTTTTTTTTTTTTTTTTTTTTTTTNATGCGTTTGTCTTGTCTTATTTTCTGCTTATATTTTTTTATTTATTTTTATTTTATTTTATTTTTTTTTTCATTGCGTTGTTTTCTTTTTATTTTAGCTGTATGTTTGTATATATATACACACTAAGACGCACCCTTCACCCCTCTCCTCTCTGTGTATTTCTTTTTCTCTCTCTTTCAGTTTCTCTTCTTCTCTTTGTGTAGTATATACACAGATAGCAGCATAACCAAACCCTTTCTCTTACTCGCCTGCACATGCATGCATGCATGCATGCATGCATGCATGCATGTGTGTGTACTGCTGCTATATGCATGCATGCATGCATGTGTGTATGTCTGCGGTTTTTTTTCATAAAAAAAAAAAAGTATGTACTATAAAATTCTATGGTGATATTTTTTTTTTTGTGTATTGTATTATATTAAATAATTTTTTTGTTTGTTTTTTTGTGCAGCCTTCTCCTTTGATGGCCCCGTGCGGTGCAGTTCGTTATGAAGCTGGCGTTGCTACTCTTTCTGCTGCAGTAGCATTGATGTCTGTTGGTGGTGTAGCTCAGGGTATAGGTTCTTTGTTTGCTGCTTTAGTATCAGGCACAGCTAGAAACCCATCAATAAAAGAAGATCTATTTACTTATACTTTAATTGGGATGGGTTTTCTTGAGTTTCTTGGTATTATTTGTGTTATGATGAGTGCTGTTTTGCTGTATTCATAAATATATTTATTTCTATATATTACACCTGATGCTGGGGTGTATGCGCATACACCCCAGCAGATGTATGCATATACAATACACCCCAAACAGTGCAGTGTTCTGCTGCACTGAACAACGAAAACCACGCAGCAACCACACACAAACACCAACGCCAGCAGCAGCAACAGCAGCAGCAGCAGCAGCAGCAGCAGCAGCAGCAGCAGAGTACTGCAGCAGCAGCTGCTGCTGCTACTAACAGAACGAAACCACTATTTCTTTTGCTACAATTTCTTCTGTCGATGATACAACAACTTCTTTAACTTTAATTATTTATAAACAAACAAAATCCATAAACTTATACGCACTAAACTAATACACTAGTGCAGCAGCAGCAGCAGCAGCAGCAGCAGCAGCAGCAACAGTACCAGCAGCAGTTTCTGTCGCCGCTACAAGAAGGAAGCAGCAACATTCGTCGTTTCGTATTTATTTATTTATTTTATTTATTTATTTATTTATTTTATTTATTTATTTATTTATTTTATTTTTGTTTGTTATTAATTAAAATAGCGGCGATCAGCTGCTCCGC